CAGAGGGCCCCTCACTCACAAGAGCCCTACACTTACTTTAACGCCATCATCTTGTAATTCTTAATGAAGTTGAACACGGGATCCATATTTTCATCATTTTTCACTGGGTCCCATAAGTTACATAGCCCATCCTGCCAATGAGTACCTGATGCATACTTTTCAACTTTTCCGTTTGCTGGGACTTCCCTAGTTTGAACACTGAAAAGCCTGAGTTCTTGGGAAACCCATTGGTCCCAGGCAAACCAGAACAATTGGCCACCCTACTTCTAGTCCTCCACATGCAAACAGATGAGGCATGTGTCACTTTAATTGATAATATTACCTAATGATTTATAAGCATAAGAATTCATTAAGGATATCCAAAACTCTGCAGTAAGCTGTATCTGTGACCCGACACATTAATATTTCTAAACCCAATTTAGATATCTCTGCTAACTATGGTTCAAGGTTTTATGAACTCCCCCTTTTAAGTTACAAGGGATCTATTTCAAAAAGCCTGTAGAAATGAGTTGCGGAGTCTAAGGTCCATGGAAGAGCTTCAATGAGTCTATGAGCCATCTGAATTCGAGGGCAAAATGTGTGTGTGCACATTTTACTGTGCGAGCAACATCTAAAGCTTTGATCAGTTTCTCAAAACTTTCAAATATTGGGAAAAAGTAAAATGTATTGCTTAATTGTTTTGAAGAATTTTGAAACTTAGGGTGGCATTCCAGAGAAAGTTCTAAGGAGTTCTACCTTGAGCATCTGAATGCACCAGTCCTTCTGAGGTTCCCCTGGAACAAATCCATTCTGTTTTAGGGCCAGAATTCAGAGCCATTTATCCCACCAATGACCAGAAACACATCTAAAAAGCCTTTCTAATGTGGCAGGTGTCTGATCCTAATTCTATATTCATTTTAATACATTACATATATTTATTCTGGGCAGAAAGGCAGATGTTATAGCTTCCCCAGATTTTAACCTAACACCTACAATACCCTCATATGTACTTTCAATGGAAGTCAAGTAAAATATATATCCAGGAACTTTGATGTCCACATAATATTTAATCATGATTTTTAAAAAAACAGTGCCCCAGGGGAAAACCTAAAATACAGTGGTAACAATTTTTCGTGGGAAACACCAATATACAAATTTTCATTAGATTGCAATCCTTAAAAAAACTTGAATACACTATAAATGTACAAGTCCCAGCTGTGAACTGGTTTACTTATCGACTAGGTCTACCACAGATTCACTTATCGACTAGACTGATCAGCTAGATGAATGTGGTGGCTGCAATGCCTGTCATCCCATTGAATGGTGGTAGATTTATTTAATGAACCAAATTGCCTATGAAGTTCCTTGTGCCCTATTTTGCAACCTTTCTTCTCTGTGTGTGCCCTCTGATAGTGCTCACTTCTTTAGGGAATACAGTGTGCCAAAAGGTGAATTCACTCAACAAATATTTACTGGGCATCCACCATGTTCTGGGCATTGCCCTGGGGATTGGAGATAGAGTAGTCAACAAAACAGACCATTTTTTCAGCTTCATAGAGGTTACAAAGTGCCTTTATCAGCAGTTTACACTGTCGCCACCAGTGCATTGTGTTCTCATTTCCCCACATCCTAGCCAGCACTTGGTGTTATCAGCCTTTTTAATTTTGCCATTTGATACAAGTGAAATGGTATGTCATTGCTATCTAATTTCCACTTCCCTGATTTGTAATTAAGTTGGCAGGTGATTTGGCACCCAGTGTCCTGTCCTATAAATTTTCATTCATATCCTTGGCCCATATTTTTATTGGACTGTTTTTATTATTGATTTGTAAGAGTTTGTTTTATATTCTGGACACTATCTTAGGTCTGGTTCCCAGAAGCAGATCCGGATATAAGGACTCATGTAAAGTGATTCACTAAAGCAGCATTATTTAAGAAAGGATTTATCAAAGAAGTGGATATTTATACGGAACCTGGCAAGAGAGCAGGGAAAGCAAGACAGGAAAGGGGAGGAAATGAAGCAAGAATGTGCTCTCAGGCATAGTCCCACAGAAGGTGGTCTGCCAGCTGCCACAGGGAACTCTGGAATGTAAGTCACACATCCCTGTCATTGGCTAAAGGTCATTTTCTAGAATGCATTCCTATGCATTTCCCCCTCTCAGTGTAGGGGGTGGAGGGTCAAAGTGACTCCAACAATCCTGTTATAAAGTGCCACAGATGTTAGGAGGCAAAAAAAACACCAGGGTGGAATGTGGGGTGCACAAAAACAGTAAAAAGGGATCTAAAGTTATCTGATTGGAAAGTGACATCACACGCTACAGACAATAATGTTAGGAAAAGGATCATTCAATTTCACTGTTAATTCAAGAAATAATTCTATCAGTGAGATATTTCCTATCATATTCATAGGTTTAAGATTTTCATAAGTTCTTACCACAAAAGAAATTTCTAACTATGTGAGTTGATGCCTGTTAACTAGCCTTACTGTAGTGATCATTTCACAGTATATACATATATATATATATATATGAAATCATTATATTGTAAATCTTAAACTTACACAATACGCCAATTATATCTCAATAAGGCTAGAAAAAAAAACTAATCTGTATTGTATAGTACTGACAAACATACATTTTTCACTGTTTTCAAACTTCATTTATATATTCCACATACCCTCTTGAATATTTTGTGGAATGTATAAACGGAAAAAAAGGGGAACACATTAATGTTTACACAGAGCAAATTTGACTACTTTTTTTAAAGCTGCATGTTTGTAGCAAAACTTTTCAATCTTAAAAAAAAAGTTAAGTAATATCCAGCTCCCGGTTGGCAATGTTCAAACAGGGCTTTGCATATGTTGTTGTCAGAAGTATAAATTGGTACGGTCCTTTTTTTTCAAGAATATTTGAGATAATCTATCAAAATTTAAGAGCACACACCTTTTGATGCAGTGGTGCCTTTCCTAGGAATTTATCCCCCCTCCAGCTATATTCACACAAGAACAGGCTATTTACTGCAACCCTATTTTAAGGGCAAAAACTGTAAACAGCCAACTGGCTACCAACAGATGTCCATACAAAAGAATATGTTGTCAAAAATATTGAAGCATACTACTGTATGTACTAGAATGGAAAGATGACCATGAGATATTGAATGTTTGTTGATTTCAGTGTAACCTTATGCAAGTTACTCAACCTCTCTAAATCTCTTCTTCATTTGTAAAGTAAGGAAATTATTTAAATAACAGGGTTGCTGTGCAGATTGAATTAGGTAATATATCCTATAGGAAAAAATTTAACAAACCTATGTATTGTGTGAGATTTGAGGGTTAGACAACTTTCACTTTTTACTCTATGCATGTTACTTGTAACATTTTCAACAGTGAACATGTTACCATAAAAGTGATGATGAAATATGGTTTTTAAAAGGCATCTGTTCTTTCTATTGCTCAGCTGAATGCTTCTGCTTAAACCGACTCTTACTACCAAGAGTGCTCTCACCCAAGGCTTCTGTGGAGCAGACGAAGGTGTGATGACGGGTGAGAACCGAGGTCTGTAACAGAGAAAACATACCATCACACGCCCACTCAGAATGAAGGAGCTGTTTTTAGTTTTGAGAACAAGAAACCACACCATATTGTTAATGACAGAGGAAGACTGAGATTCCTATCTGACATGTCAGTCAAATGTCAAATTTGTGAGAGTGTCAGAAGGAGAGTGTGATAAAATAAAAAACAATATATATATATATATATATAT